CCATAAAAAAATTTTCCTTTAAAAGTTGCTTAATTTATTTTTGTTAATTTATATTTATATATAAATAAAAATTACAAAGCGACTATTATTTTCATTATTTAAAAAATATTTTAGTTAAAATTATTTAAAAAATATTATTTAAAAAACTTTTAAATTCTTCTAATAAATTTGTAAGTCATTAAATTAAAATTGATGTTAATAAAAACCAGCTATTTTAAATGTTCTAAGAAGTTTTGTTAAATTATGTAAGTTACAAAAAAGATATTCAAAAAGATGTCAAATTTCATCATTTTAATATATATATTTTTAGTTTCAAATATAAAATACTGAACTTTCCATTAATTTTCAAGTTTATGTTTTCACATAATTTTTAATCAGAATAAAGTTCGCAATCATAATCATTTATAAAAATATGAGGGTACAAACTTTCGCATTGCCCTTTTTTTTGCCCTTTTTTGACCCTTTGCAACGTATTCGGATTTCAAAAAACCCTTTTTTATAAGTAAACTACTAACACTCTTAAGTTAAAAAAAAAATTTCATATGAGTGATACGACATAAAATCTGGCAGTCAGGCCAACTGTGATCATAAAGATCAACATCGCCCATATTTTTGTTGTACTCTTCAATTATTTTTGGGCAATTAATATATCTAAAACTCTTACTTTTTTTACATCATCTTTTTGCAGGTGATCTATATCTTGTGTCATGTGATAGTTGGACAATGTTATTGTCAAACCACTGGATTATCGTAATTCCAGAACTTGCATCTATTACATTGTCAACACTACCTCTGCCTCACTTTTTAAAGCCTTCTTCATGACATAAAGCTTCCTTGGCTCGCTTAATGTCATGTGGTATTGTTGCTATAGGTGCACAATCATTCTTCTTTGAGTTTCAACAACAGGCTTAATGTAGAAAAATAGTTGTCAAAAAAAAGTTTATAGTTTTTATGTTTTTCTAATGTCCTTGTGAGTCTATATACAATATTGCCACCCATCAATAACCTGTCATTATCAATGACAAGCTTATTTGATTTTCCCATATAAACTTCACAACTATAAATGATTCCAAACACTCCACATCTTGTTCAGACCTTGATTCCCCACTTAATAGATTTTTTAGGTATTGTTTCAGTAATGATCTTCCTTTTGCTTGAATTATTTGCTTATCAATTGAGTGACTTTCCTCAGTTGCAATTAACCTTAAATGTGATACTACACTTTCCAAGACTGATCTGATTTTAAACAACTTGTCATAGTCTGGATGATTCTTCTGTAATTCTATTATTGCAAAAAAAAAAAATTATTTTTTCAAATCTTTTTATAGAAATTATATCTGCAATTATTATGCGAGTATGCGAGTGTTATGAGTTGACTGGGAAGTTTTATAATAGCCGTCACACATTCCAATATACTGTTCTATTTTACTATTAGTGACACCAATTGTTGCACCTGTTTTTTGAAGACTGTAAATGTTCATTCTGTTATTAAAATTAACTAGATTATCATCAAAAAAATGTTTGAAATACTGATATGGAGTCATACAAGGTTCAGGTGGATCTGGAAAAGGATTTCCAAGAAAATCAACATTTATTTTACTAGGTGTCTTTTTATGCTACTGATATTTTCATTACTTGATTATGGCTTGATATTTTTCTTGAATTTTGTTGTTTTCTTTCTATAAAATCTTCATTTTCATTTATATCAACATCTATTTCATTATCAGCTGAATCAGTTTCAGATGATTACATCGCAAATATAAACACATATGATATCACAAGATAAACACATCGCAATCAGTGTCGATAACAGCTTCTGGTAGAAAGTTTTCATCATCACTCAAATCAGATATATCACTATTATCAAATTCTGTTGATGTATTGGAAACTAAACTCTTATAGAACTTTTTAACAGGAATGGTTAAAAAGTTCTATAAGATAAAATTCATATATATATAAAATAATATACATTATAAAATTCATGTGAAATTCACATGCTCTTTGAATATTCATGTGAAAACATATTATTATAAAGTTATATTATAAAGTAAAGAACTACTAGTATTCAATTTTATTGTTGTTTTACTGTTATATATAATCCTTATTTCAATTTCTATTTTATAAATACTGTTATATACACTTAGATACAAGTTCAAATTTATATATAAGTAAGTATAATAGTATTTATAAAATAGAAATTGATACAAGTTTTATATATTATATATAATATGTAAATTATTAAATTATATAGTATATAATAATTTTATGTAACAGTAAATCAACATCAAAATTAAACAGCAGTAGCTCTTAAGCATAATTTTATAATTACTGGTATTTGCAAAAATCAATTACTCCTGAAGGATGTTGTTATACAACCCCTGATGGGTGTTGTTTTACAACAACAATGTATTTCACTTGTTTATCTAAATTACTTTATATGTAAAAGCAAATATAAATGATACAATAATTAAACAACAGTTCAAAGATGATCAAAAAAAATATTTTAACGATATTGCGTTAAGTACTCTTTTAAGTAAAAGAATAGTAAACAACAATCACTTTAACTTAGCAATTTAGTATTACTTTTCATATCTCCAGACATCATTTAACACATGTAATGTAAAGTATATAATGTAAAGTTCAAGTTTGTTAGATACCTTAAATAAATGGTTAAATTCATGCTGGTAATAGACACAATTAAAAATACATGGAAGATTAGCAAGTTTCTTTTGAATTCTGCTTCATTCTATAATATGATGCATATAAGATTAGCAGGTTTCTTTTGACTTCTACTTCATTCTATACTATGATGCATATAAGATTAGCAGGTTTCTTTTGAATTCTATTTCATTCTATACTATGATGCATATAAGGATAAAATTTACAAGGAACCTGCTATGATGCATAGCAGGTTCCTTGTAAATTTTACTTCATATTATGCTATTTTTTGGTTTTATGCTAACCATGTACCAGAAAAAATCTGCGAGTGTTTTGATGTGGTGTTTACCGAAAGCGTGTATCATTTTAGTTGGCTAGTTGTTTTAAAATGTCATTGCATTAGTATTATTCAAAATTTAAACAACTCTGTTATTAAAACAATTAGTTTCAATTCAAATAGAGATAGGAAGCGAGAAAAAATTTTGCATTTTTTCGTTAAGAATTCTGGTTTATCAAACAAAACAATTTCTAAAGAGTTGAAAATTGCTTTGAGAACAGTGCAAAGCATTGTGAAATGATTTCAGGACACTGTTACAATCAAAAGGAAATCAGGAATGGAAAAAAAAAAGTTTTGTTAGACGAGATTTTGATAAAAAAGTGAAAGATGCCTTAGAAAGCCGGAAACTTCTGTTCGAACTTTAGCAAATAAATTTACAACAAGTGCTTCCACTATACATAGAGTGAAAAAAAATTATGGTTATAAATCTTATAAAATGAAAAAAGTTCCTTGTCATGAAGAAAAGCAAGAAAATGTTGCAATTTGTTGTTCAAAGCTGCTATATAAAAAATTATGTGCTAAAAAATCTTGTTTGGTTATTGTCGATGAAACTTATTGTGCTGCATATTTCCGATCTCTTCCAGGACACCAATATTCACAAGAAACTGAATTTCAATTATAAATGCATTGAAATGCAAGAGTTCACTAAAAAATTCTTAGTTTGGCTTAGGTGGCATTGTTTGCTGATGATACTACCATTCTTGTCACAATAAGAAGCCAACTCACTCTGATTGCTTGCAGGGGGCATCTGAGCTTGAAAAGGATCTCTTTTCTGCTACAGCATGGGGCTCACAGTGGCTGGTGAACTTTAATTCAGATAAAACTTTTTTTCGGCCAATTGTTATTGCAATAGCTTAGACCTTCCTATATTTATGAACGGTAATGTACTCAATTAGTCTCCTACCCTTCATCTTCTAGGATTAACTCTTACTTCTGATCTTTCTTGGAAACCTTATATCAAATCCGTTGCAAAATTAGCATCTGCTAAAGTTGCTTCTCTTTTTACTCGTCATTCAGCTAAGTCTCATTCGTTTACTGTATCTGTCCCTGCATGCTCTAAAAACTTTTATTCATCTAGTTTTTTTCCCCGCACTTCAATCCTTTGGAACCCTCTCCCATCTTCATGTTTTCCTGACTCATACAACCTTCAACTTAATAGTGGTTGCTTGCAGCCTTGTTGGGAGTGAATGCAAATAAAATAAAAAAAAGAAAAGCGATTTGTGAATGTGGTGAAAGAAGCTCTTGTTTTGTGACTACTGAAACAATTAACACCAGTATATACATGAAAGAGTCCCTCAAGAAACGTCTTATGCCGTTTTTAAGAACACACACAGGTAACCCTTTATTTTGGCCCGATTTTGCATCATGTCACTACTCTAGGACATATTTAGAAATTGTAAAGTAGATTTTATTGAAAAACACTGCAACCCCCCAAATCGAACCTGACTAAGGTTCAATGTAACTAAAGCTAACTAAGGTTCAATGTAAATAAAGCCAAAAACATTTCTTGAGTCTAATAATCTTACTCTCCCTGTTCTAAAAAAATCTCTAAAAAAATAGGTAATTTATTGTTTGACATCCAAATTGATCCAAAAATTATGATCATATAAAATTGGTAACCCTTTTAAATTTTCAAAGCAGCCATGGCGCAGTGGTTAGAGCGCTTGCTTTATTAGCAGAAGATCCAGGATCTTCTGCTAATAAAGCAAGCGCTCTAACCACTACATTATTTTAAAACATTATGCACATGTGCATAATGTTTTAACATAATGTAGTATATTAAGTAGGAAATAAAATGTGTAATTATATTTGCACACAACCAATATATATATATATATATATATATATATATATATATATATATATATATATATATATATATATATATATATATATATATATATATATATGTATATATATATATATATATATATATATATATATATATATTTATGTGTATTGTTTTTAATTATTTAGATATATTTATACCAGTTTTTTGCTTTAGGATTGGTGCCCTACAGAGAGAGTTAGACAAAGTTCGTAATAAAGAAGCCGATGAAACTCGTGCTCTAGAGGACGTTGTCCATATTATTGAAGAAAATCTTCAATCAACTACGGTTAGAAATTAGTTATAGTTCTGCTGTTTTCTAAATTAAAAAGAATGAATTGATCATTTATTGATTTTTAAATTTTATTCAAAGATAAGAGCCGTAAGAGCAGAAACTACTGTGGCTTGCTTAAGGGATGAAGTGAATCGACTAACTGAAGAATTAAATGCAAAAAAGGTTATTTAATATAAATATTAAAAATTTTGAATTGGATGATTTTTATAATTTTTTTCCTCGTGTTAATTGACAAAAAAAAAAACTTTAAAATTTATAGTTTTAACTCTCTCCTTTGGTGTTCTCTTTTAGTTTTAAGACCCTCCTTCAGTGTTCTCTTTTTAGTTTAACTCTTTCTTTCGGTGTTTTTTTTTTAGTTTTAACTCTCTCCTTTGGTGTTCTTTTTTAGTTTTAACTCTTTCTTTCGGTGCCTACTAAGACTTGGATATGTCATTTTATAATATTTATATAAATTTTAGTTCTCGCTAGATGATTACGATCGACTTCAAAAAGAGCACAACGAACTACTCTTGACAGTAAAAGATCGGTCTCAACACGTTGCACGGTTATTGCGAACAGCTGCAAGTAAGACAGAACCACATGTCAGGTTTAATTTTTTTTTTTGAAATATTAAATTTTATTTTCATTATTTAAAAGAATTGTTGCTGCAGTCAATTTTTTTCTATATCACAAATATAAATATAACACTAGTATCGCGATATTGTTTTCGAATAAACCTGGGAACCGACTGTATGTTTGTGCTTAAGCGATAGTGTAATTTTTTTAATATTTTGTTCTAGAATTTTTTTTAGGCAACTACAGTCTGGTATTGTTTCCTTAAATTTTCTTGCGAATCAACTTGACGATATTGGCAAAATTTCTGATATCGGTGAATAGGAAGTATGAACCGCAGTTGAAGACATATGCATAAAGGCAACGCTAAGTTAATATCAGGCCTTTTGAATGGAAATCTATAAAGAAAAAGATAAAGCATGCAGCATATATGCGTTTTTACATATACATATATGCTATGGATGCAAGCTTATATGCGTTATATGCGTTAAACGCATATATGCAAGCATATATGCGTTTTTACATATACATATATGCTTTTACATATACATATATGCATATATTATACATACATGCTATTAATAAAATTCACAGACACATTTGTATCTTAAAAGCAAATTAGAGTGCAAATCCATCGGAGAGATTTTCGAAAAAAAAAAGAAAAACAACTAACCTGTTAACAGGGATTTCTCTATGGAAAGAGTTTTAAATACCTTTATATCGAAACCTTTATAATCGTATTTGTATATACAACATTTATCTTTGTATAAATTGGAAATAGTGTTTTATTTAGTTTAATTTTAAATTCGAATAAAGTTAATTATTATTTGAAAAAATTATAAACTTGAACAAATTTGACTCGAATAATTTACAGCTCTACTACTTTGTTTTCAGTTAACGACTCTGGACACAATTTACGACTCTGGAAATCAGCGACAATACCTGTAAGGTCATTGAGGAGATATATTTTAAAAAATTATTGAGGAGATATATATTTTAAAAAATTATTGAGGAGATATATATTTTAAAATATTCAACAATTTTAAAGACTAGTTAATAGGTTTTGTTTATTAAAATTAATATAACATATTATCAATCTGGATATTGAGTTGCTGTTAGCTTTAGTTTAGATAAATTTTTGTTCGGACCACTTTTGATAAAACTAAAATCAATTCTGGGGCCATTGATAATTTTAATAAAAAAAAAGCGACTAGCCATATACACACAACAAAATCCAAGATTTTTGTATTGAGCAAAAAAAGTCTTAAAACAAGAAAAAAATGACTTGTCCGCCATGCAAGAATATTTTTTCTTGTTTCGAGAACTTTTATTCTTAAAATAAGAATTTTTCTTCTTGTTTTAAGAACATTTTTTCTTAAATATTTTTTTTTTCTTGTTTCAAGAACCTCTATTCTTTAAACAAGAATTTTTTTCTTGTTTCAAGATATTTTATTTTTAAAACAAGATTTTTTTTTCTTGAGTAATAATGCTCTCAACAGCATTAATTATTATTATTATATATAAGCGCCAGGCAATATCTATGACAGCCGGTATAAATTAATTAATGAACAAGTTAGTTCAGTCACTAAATAATAAAAACGTTAACAATAAGCTTTCTTGGTTTTTATCTTGTTTTTTATTGCTTTTAAGTCGACCGATTGCAGGTTTAATTTGAAGCTTTTAACTGTTGTAGATTAAACAACTTCGGCTGGTAGACTATTCCATCCATCAACAACTCTATTACTGAAAAAATATTGCCTTTTCAATCAATTTCTGACCAATTCAGGTTTTATTCGATGTTTTGCTCCTCTAATGTTAGCTGCAGGACCTGATGAGCAAATAGAGTTCATTGTTTGATTTTGTTTAATATCAATGATTTCAATACCTTTAAATTTTTTGAATTGCTGGATCAAGTCGCACCTTAGCCTTCTAGTCTCCAAAGTAGTCAAACCCAAAATTTCCAATCTTGATGTCTTAGCTTTGGTATCATTTTGATAGCTCTTCGCAGCAGGCTATTTCAGTATGACGTCAGATTGCTTACCTTAGTACGCAATACTATTTGTATATTCAAATTGTTTTTAAAAAGTCATATAAACAGCTTTTTCTATAACAATATGTCCGGTTTTAGTCTTTTAAAAATTATTAAATGTTTAACTTAGTATCTAAAAACACATTCCTTCTTTAATTAAAATATGATTTCAATACATTATTGTACCTAACTCTAACCCTAAACAAGCAAAACCCTAAAAATGCCTGAGGTTGGCAATTTTTAGCTGACCTCGTTTTTATCTTTTATGGTAAAACCTTTGTAAAAATGGCTTTATGTTTGCCAATTGTAACCTGATGCCAACCTAAAACAGTTTAAGGTCAACAATTTATTACTCACTTTAGTTTTACTAATTGTGAGGGTTGTGTATGCATGCATACTTACCTGTCTTTGGGTGGCAGTGGGCAGTGCCAACTTGTGCATTCCATAGTGCAAAAGTGTGTCAATGTCTCAAGTCAAGTTAATTGTTGCTGAGTCAACTGTGACAGAAAACTTTAATACATGAGCTATGTTGCCAACAATCTGAATTAAATAATACTAAAAAAAGCATACAACTTTAAAAAGCAGAGAAAACTTATAGAATAACCCATTAGAGGACATGGCAGTTTTAAAAAAAAATACCTTCTCACTTTAAAAAGGATTTGTGATTTTGAAACACTATTACATTTTATCCAATAAATATATGAGACCATAAATGAAAAATAAAAAAATCTTACCAATAGCACCTAAGAGAAACATGGTTATTTCTCTAAAAATGTTGCAACTCTATCAACTCTCTTAACAGGAGATTTATTTACCCAGGTTAATAAATTAAAATTCTATACTTAGATCAATTAAAATGCACCAGAACTTTGTTCTGGTACATTTTAATTGATCATGTTATAAAAATATAGATAAAAAATGTAAAAAAAATAAAATTAATTAACAATACTTAATATAGAGTAAAACAGAGAAAAATGAAATAAAGTTTTTTTAAATGTAGCATCCTAAACCTTTTTTAAATGTAGCATCCCTGAAAAAATTATATTTTGCCTTTCACAGTTATTTGTCTTACTTTAATATTGTGTGGGTTAGTACTGGCTATACAAAACTTAAGAAAATCTACAACAAACAAAAACATGCATGCAGAATAGTGTTTGGACCCTACTGAAATACTCCTTGCGAAGCACTTTTACGTGCACTCGGTGCTTTAAATGTGTATAAACTCAATTTACACCAAGTTTAATTGTTTATGTTTAAAACAAAAATGGGATTGTCCCCAATAATTTTTCAAACCTATTTTAATAAAATTTTTAAATATTTTAGCGGTTGTTAGCATTTCAACAATTCTTAATTATTTGCTATTTTGAATTTCTTAATTTTCTCAGTTATTTTCTGTTTTGGTTCTGATCTATATTTTATATATTTGTATTATATATATTTACATGTTACGGTTATGTAGAGTTTATTTTTATGCAGGTTTTTTTTTATATGTGGGGCTCGGCGATAAGGCAAACTGTGCCTTCTTCTTGCTCCTGCCATTAATTTTGATATATGTATATCGTCGGGGATAGTGCAAAACCGCGTAACTAGCATTTTATAACACCGCGTATCTACAGTACATTTTTTTTACTGGAGAAGTTTAAAACTTTATTAATTTTTTGTTTTAACTGATTTTGGGTTCATTTTAGTAAAATAAGTATTATTTATGTTTTTTGTAATCTCAACAATAAACATTTGGTGTTAAAATTAATAATATCCAAATATAGTAGCCAATGCTAATTATGCGGATTTGCACTATCCCCGACGATATGCAATGTAAACATTCTTTAACGGCGAAATAAATTACACCAAAGGAGGAGGGATTATTCCTTTGAGGAGGTTTCCGTCATACTCTTTTCAAACACGGAGTTCCATCTGGTAAACAGGGTTGTTACACCCAAGCTGTATTTCTTTTTCATAAGAAAATCGTATATTGATTTTGATGTTAAATCGGTGATCAAAACCGGTTTTAGGGGGTGTATAAAGTTTTTTAGGGTAAAGTTTGATTTGTTGTGGTCATAAGATTGACCTTCGTTTTTAATTTTTGTTTTCCAAACGCGTGGAATGGAGTTTTTAATTTTTGTAAAAGTTGTTTGTTTGAGACCGGTTAAATAGTAGTCAAAGAAACCCGGTACAAAAACCTTTGCAAGTCAGTTATTTTAGATATTTGGTTCTGAGTTGTTACTTGCTTAGGTTTAAGAGTTTGGTGATTTTGGTCTCTTATAAAATTGGTTGTGACGAAAATATTTTTGCCTTAATTAGTTTTTCTATAGCTATTGAAAATGTGCGTCGCAGCGTCTTTTCACGCGCCTGTTAGGGTGTGATTGAATATTTTTGCCACCCATGTTAACTGAATGGATTTTAGTTTTTCGCCTATGTCGATAATATTTAAACCTCCTTGGTTAATGGGAAGTTTAGAAACTTTTTGGTTTGTTTTGATTGAGCTGTTGCTCCAGAGAAAATTCTCAACAATTTTTTCAATATATTTAATAATTCTGTCGTTGGGTATTGGCAACGTAAAAGCTAAGTGCCAAAAGTTACTCCAGAGTATTTGGTTAATTATTATTCTTTTTCCTTTAAAAGATAAATTAAACGTTTGCCAGCGTTTAATTTTCTTTTGAATAATGAAAATACTTTCGTTCCATTGTTTGATGTTAATAAAACTGTCTCAATTGGAAAAGTATATACCCAAGCTTTTAAGGGTATTTTCTTCCCAGTTAAAGTTTAAAAAATTTTCTTTATTTTTTGTTTTATTTTTTTCTAGCCACAAGCCTTGGCATTTAGCTACATTTAATTTGGCTCCAGTGGCTCGCTCGTTAAGCTCTAAGGCCTTACCGAGTTCTTTTACTGACTCATCTCCTATTAAATAGAAGTTTGTATCGTCAGCGTATAGCTGGATTTTAGTTTCTTTTTGGTTTACTGTTATTTCTTTTATGTTTTTATTTGCCCAATCGCTTGCAGTAGCTTTGCAACAAATGTTTCGTATTCAACGAATTGACACACAAAAAAAGAAAAAATGTAGATGTGCCAAGATTCGAAGGGGAGTGTCTCAACAAACCTGAAATACTTGAAAGGTTGAAAGATGCTGAGAGCAAAAAAGCAGCCAAGCAAGCTAAAAAACAACGTAAGGTTAGCTTTAATGGCGAACAGCAAATAAACCAAACAACAAGTCCAGCCAAAATTTTTTAATTTTCATCATTGATTATTTTTTTAATTGTTATTGTTGATTGCTTTTCGTTTTTTTAATAAAGCATTGTTTTAATTAACATACATTTGCGTATTTTATTCTCCCCGTAGAATGGAATAAATTTTTTTTTAATCAAGTAAAGTTTTATAAAAAAACTTTAACTTTTTATTTTTTTATTTTTACAGGGTTTTGCAAAGTTATAAGTGCATGTTTACAAAGTTATAAGTGCACTTTTGCAAAGTTATAAGTGCATGCTTGCTAAGTTATAAGTGCACGCTTGCAAAGTTGTAAGTGCAAATATATATTTTTGGAAATTATTTTTTTTAGTTTTAAAAAATGAAAAATATTGCGCAAAATATTAAAATAAATTACATCATAGCAATCGAAAAGTGGTTTTTTGTAAAAAAAAAAAAAAAAAAAAAAAAAAAAAAAAAAAAAAAACATTAATTAGTGAAATTTCTTTACATTTATACTTAATTTATCATTTATATTGTTTTATATCAATAACTTTTCTAGATTAGATACTTTCCATAAGTTTTAAAAAATAGTATACATTAATTAATCATAAAATTTTTTAATCATACATTATTTTAAAAAAATAAACAAATCATTTCAAATATTTTA